CTCCGCGGGGTAAAAATGGAACCGGCGGCGCGGCCACTGGCCTTCGTCAGGCCGCGCCAATCCGAACCAAAACAAAACGCGAAGGAAGCGACAGGCCGCCAACGAGCACCATCTCGTCGCCTGCGCCCACCGCGCCGACGTTCTCCACGAGCTGCAAAGATCTCGCTCTGGAGGCAGCCGGGAGCACCTCAGCCAACCTCAGCAGCCGGCCGCTTTGGCCCGCCAATGACTTGCTCGTCCCCCGTGACTTGCGTGCCTCGCTCGTCATGAACATGTCTTCCTTGAGGGACTTGGCGTGCTCGCTGCTCGGCCGAGGAGGACCCAACCTTATCGCCAGAGGAGCGCCCCACAGCGGCGCGAGCCCGGGCCGGCAGCCCGGGCCACACGGAGCAGAGCGAGCAGAGCAGAGCAGAGCGAGGCGTACCGGGGCTACGCCGGGCTGCGCCATGGCTACGCGTGCGATGCGGCGCAGCACGGCACGGCACGGCACGGCACGGCGTCGGGCGGCGTGGAGCAGCGGCGCGGGGTTGCCAAGTCGCAGCCGGCACCGCCGTCACCGCCACCCTCCGACCCACGCAGACAGCAAGACAGCAACGAGAGGTACTACAACGCCGTGCAGAATGCACGCCAGCAGCCAGCCGGCCTGGAGGGCCTGGAAGGGCACAGCGTCCTGCGTCGCACGCCGGCACGCCGCACGTCTGCGGTGGCTGAGGAGCCCGAGGGGCCCGTCCCTAAGGCGGCCAGGTCGCCGTCGAAGGCCGGAGCCAAGCACGGCGAAGCGCCATCGACCGTGGCGATTAAAAGTTGTCGCAAATTGGCGGACAGGCACGGCGCTGGTTCAGCGACCAGCCGCCGGAGCGCGGAGCACTGATCGCCCCACCCCCTTCCCTCTCCATCGCCAAATGTAAAGCCCCACGGCAGTGTGGATGGAAGGAAATTTTAGCGAAAAGAATCGGAAATGGCGGCGGGGCGGGGCGGGGTGGCGATCAAACAGGATCAACCAGGGGAGGGGGAGGCCGGGCCGCGTAGGCCCGCGTAGGCAGCGCTGCTGGACCAGCAAACTCCGTCCGCCTCCCGCAGGTGCCTCAGCCGCCACCGCCAAGATCGACGCCGTCCTAGAAGACACGCGACAGGCTGCACAGAGCTTTCCTCGTTTAGTCTCTCTCTCTCTCTCTCGCTCGTGGGGCTTTACACAAGGGGTGCGAATGACAGACAGAGAGCGACAAACTCGTTGTTCGGTATCGGCCTGCTCGGAAGCCCGCTAAGTCGAGCGAAATCTCTAGTACAACCACCCCGATGCCCCACCCCACCCCCTTTTCACTGCTGCAAAATTAAAAGCGAGTAAATAAAATGCCGAAAATTGGCGCCAGCCAACACCACGGCCTCTCCGAAGGGGAGAGAAGGCAAACGCGCGGAAAGCCCGTCGAAAGCCGCCAGCCGCGCCAGCTCGGCCAACTTTTCGTTCCTCATTTTCCATTTTTGCCCGGAATAACTTGTGTAGTACAGCCTTCCTCCTCTTCCAGCTCCTTCGAGAGCAGTCGCGATACGACGCGCCCAGGTCAATGCGGCGGGAGAAACTTCGTCAAGTCCAAGAAGTAGAAAAAGGAGGAAAGGCAGCCGCCGCGGCGAGAGGAGAGAGAGAGACGGAGACACCGGGAAAGCCTAATTGCGGGAATGCGGGGCACTTTTCGGGGAGAGGGGGCAAAGGAGTCGGCTAGGGTTCCGATGTGAACGCGGCAACCAAAAATATCAACTCTCAGAGCCCATGACGGCACAACACTGCAGCGCTCGGCGATAAAGCGCGGCGTGCGCTAGGTCGCGGAGCAGGACAAGCATGGCGAGCAGCACGAGCTGAGGAAGCTTCGCGTGGCGAGCACAGCGAGCACGGCGAGGCGCCACAGGAACACAACACAATCTCCTGCGGCCCCAGGCAGGGCAGGCAGGGCAGGCAGCGCTTCCGGCGCGCCGCGGCGGGGATCAAATCGGGCGAAAAGTAAACCGATTCGGCGCCAACAAGTCGCGGCGTCATCGGGCCAGGCCGACATCGCCAAGGCCCTGCCAGGCAGAGCCTTGCAGAGCCCAGCCCGGCATCGACAAGTCATCATCGGCCACCCCCGCGAGTTAGGCAACATCCGGCCGGGGGGTTGCTTGGGGGCTGGTCGCGAACCGGCACCGGGGCGGGCGTCGAGCCGGCGGGCCCCCCGTCCTGCCGTGCCCGCCGTGCCCGCGCCACCATAAACAAAGACACGGGTTCGAGTCGAGCCGGTGCCGAGCGGAGCCGGGCCACGGCCAAGCCGACCGCGCCGAGCCGAGCGCGACCGCGCGGCGTTGCCGCTCCGTTCACACGTTGGTTGCTCAGATGCGCTGTAGTCAGATCGCCGCGCTATCAACTCACTCACTCGCCTTTTCATCGGCGTTAATCGATCAAGGAAGGACCCGGTCGGTAGGTCCGGCGGGGAGGACGACGGCGTCGCGGGGGAGGACAGCGTGAAACGCGCCGCCCGGGTCGCCACCCCGTGCAGTGCCATCCTGAGGATTCTGCGAGCTGCTGCGTCGCGGCGTCGCTGCCGGGAGGGTCGCCGGCGTGCACCCCTACAAGTCGGGGCGCGAGGCGCGGACCTCCAGCACCCGCGCCCTGGGCACAGCCGCCGCGGTCCTCAGTGAACATCTCAGGCACGAGGTCCTCGAGGAGGCGGAGATCTGCTCTGCGGCCTGTCGTGTCGTGCCGGAAACACCCCCGGCCGCCCCGACCACCCCTTCCTTTCAGCAGGACGTGGTGCCGCGAGAAACCACTGCGGCGGGGCGAGGCGGGGCGGGACGGGGCGGCGTGGGACCACGGGCTGAGCTTCAAACAGGTTCTGATCCTCGCCAGTCCCCCTCCCCTCCCCCGCAACCGAGACCCACACCACACCGAGGGTCGTCATCTTGTCCCTGCCGCTCCGCCGCCGCCCCGCCGCACTGCCTTGGAAGGGGCCCGTCCCTAAACGGCGTCCTTCGCCCTTCCTGCGTCCGAAACCGCCACCTTCCGCAGTCCTGGGCGCAGGGCTCCGCAGGGCTCCGCAGGGCTGCAGGACTGCGAGGGACGGCCATCTCCGAGGCAGCCGCGCAGCCGCCGCTGCTGCGGCACGACGCGCGCCCAGCGTGGATGGGAAAACCCTCCCGGTGACCATAATCTCCGATGTATATTTCTCGGGAAATCAGCCAGAGGCCTGCTGCACAGGCTGCTTGGGGTGGCCGGGACTGGCCGGGCCTGCCGGCCCCAGCCTGCGGCCTGAGGCCCCGAAGAGCCCAACCGACCCCAGCCGGTGCCCCGACGAGTACCTCCAAACAAAGGATGTGAGGTTAGGTCGGCCCCTCCGCGCTCCGGCGGCCTGCAGAATTTCGGCCGCGGCGCTGAAACTACTCATCCTGGAGGCACAGACCGCCCACTAGCCCCGCAGCGCCCCAGGGGCTCAAAATTTCAAACCAGGTCGCCGATGAATGGAGAACCCCAGTCGACGCGTGACAACCCCCCTGGAGGACATCGACGGCACTCACCTGCCGGGGCAGCGACCAGGACAACGGCCGGGGCCCCGGTTCCAATCCCCAGGACCCTAGGACGACCAAATTTCGCGAATAGTCATCATCTCGGCCGCCGGCTAGCGTCGTCCTCGGCCCGCGAGCACGCCGCGTACCCGGGCCGCGGGGAGCGCCGTGCCGCCGCCGAGCCACCGCGCCGAACGCGCACCGCGGCGGAAAATCCTGACCTACGCGACGAACGTCGCCGCGGCCGTAACAGCAGGAACGTCCTTTTCTCAAGATTAAAATTCCGAAAATGGCAGCCAGAAACGAGAAAAATGCGTCAGGCCCCACACTTGTTGCTCCCGAAAATAAGCAAGTTTGCCGACCAAAGATTGCAGCATTTTGAGGTTAAAGCCGCAATTTCAATGTGAACTCACCATATCAGGGCCCATGTCTTTCATATCCTTGTAAGTTACGTGTCTCGTTGTTAGCATCCAATGTTACAGAAGAGACGTGTTAAGGCTGTCACACAATGAAAACAAAGTAGCCGACTCGTCCGGGGCTCACTATGTACACTTATTTCTCACTTTATTTCTCCACGGAACCGAAAGTAAACTGAACGAACACCACCGCGAACTCACTGACAAACAAAAACTATGTACAAGGCACTCAAATCTACAAAATTACACGATATATTCACTCCATTTTCAACAGAAAACCTCGACAGGTCGCTGTGTCACGCACATACCGCGCAGAGCACTACAACTCCCCGAACGAACTGACTGGTGTGTAGACAAAGGAAGAACGCCGGGTCCGCTTCGTGCGCGGTGGGGGAATGCTAGGGGCGGCACGGGGAGGGGGGAGGGGGAGGGGCACGCTGAGGCATTCGGAGGTGCCAACCTGCCGGCGCCGCCACCACGGCGATAGCACGGCGACGGCCATTACGCATGCGCCGGGGCAGCCCGGGGCCGTCGTCGCGGCTCGCGAGGGAGGTTTGAACCGCGGTTCGGATCAAGGACCAAGGACCCCGGGTTGTTCAACCCGGCCGATGGGCAGGGTAGCGCGCGACAAGGGCAGGGAGAGAGAGAGAGACGCCAGACCGCGACGGCGGCGACATCCACGGCGACACCAGCCTGCTGGACCCTACCCGTGGTTTTCGCGCGGTTTCGCGTTACCGCGGCCACGCAACGTGACAGTGACAGGCTGCCAGGCTGCCCGATGACATCTAGACAGATAAGCCGGACGCACGTGTGGAAGCACGACGCACACACTGCAAGCGCCACAAGCTCGCGAGTGCTGCTACGTACAACCAGATGCAAAAGCTTCTGCTCGAGCCGCCAGTGTCACGCAAAGCCCATTCATGCAATATTTTACTCAAAAAGTTTTTAAATTTTTGAACACAAAAAATTTTTTTTTTACTGCTGATCAAAACTGGCTCAACATATTTAGGTGGCACGGTAGGTCCTTCACAAAAATTTACTTTTTTCAAAGCCACTTACCTGTCCGTTTCTTGATGATTGAGCGAGGGGATCCATCTGTGTGTGTTGCACAAGAGCCAATCCCATGTGCTGGGGTGATATTGATAGATTGTTTACGAATACTAGGGAATCAGATGCAGGCTGAAAGGGAATGAAAATTTCAATGAAAGATAGTGTACAAATAAATTATAACAACTCAAGTTTTTTAAACACTTCTAAAAACACAAAGCACAAAAAAAAATATGTTCCCACTTCTGTGTTAAAATGTTAGTGTGATAGAAAGTGAAACAAAGTCTGCATCTCCAGTAAAAGCCATTTTCCCATGTATGTTAGTTCAAGTATTTGTTGCAAGAGACTGCATTTTTGAAGCCTGAGTCAAAGGCTTACCGATTCCATAATACTTTCATCGCCAAGAGCCCAGCGTCCCTGTAGTTTGCCATAGGGTGTGGGGAAGTCGGTATCGCTCTGCGGTCTTTGGAATAAGTAGCCTACAGTAGCATCATCTTGAGAGCGTGCAGGCTGAGGTCTAATCCCCTCTCCAGGAAACTGTGTATAGATGAAGATTTAGATGCCAAACTTTGTTACAACACCACAATACAATTACAGTTTTCACAGAAGAACCTTTAAATACCATGCTAAGGAGGGAATTAAAATACAAAGAAAAGATTTACAGAAATACAAAAGAGAAAACAGCCACAAACCAGACAAAGCATCCTATTTAAATCCCCTTTAAGCAAAAATTACAAATTCCACTCCTTGAGCTAAAAAGATAAGGTCCTGAATGCCAGAGAGAGACATGAGACGGACCTGCAGACGTATCAGCTGATGGGATGATGCAGCCTGCCCATTATTGCGGGGCAGCATTCCGTTTGAGACCCCTCCACCAAGCCACTTCATTTATTTCCACCAATGTATGTAGGAGAATCTGAAATCGTAGAAAATTAATTTGGATTCTGCAGTTTGATATCTGCCACTTAATTTGCTGATAAAAAAAAAACTGGCTTGTTCCTAATTTAACCTTAGGGTAGGAACTTGAGGAGCAAAATGCATTAATATGCCCAAAATTATCCCATGCCAGATATATGATTAAGATTTGAAATGTTGTTCTTTATTACTCTGAGCAATTATTTTTTCAACAACTCAGAGTCAGAAAATATATAATAATGAAGCTGAGTCGGTCTTAAGCCAACTAGTCAAATTTCGAAAATCCCAGAAAATGACAACTAGTCTCTATAGCTCTAAGTGGATAATATATTGGCATGCATCAGTAACTAAACAATAAAGTAAGGTTATCTCCAACAACCAATATTGTCAAATTACTACTCAGATTATGCCAGCAAAACATTTGGCAGTGGCCAGATTCGACTACAAACTACTTTCAATATACAAAATCACCAACAGATACAACATGAAGAAGGAAAATACTGAAACAATAGGCACATGTCATCATAAAGCTTCATAACAAATTCAACGTCCTATCAAGCTTCACAGAAGTGGTTTGCCAAAATTCTAGATAGAGAGGGACAATTTAAAATATTTGTGCTGTGTGAGCAAATTAAAATTGATATTACAATTGGCAAAATTCCATATTTGTCGTTAAAAAAACCTTCACATGAAATTTTGCTGAACAGATGACAAAGAAAACAAGATTTTCTTTAGGACCTTAAGGCTATCTTTCAACCAGGTGGGAAACAAGCTTTAAAATATGAATTGTATTTATTCTTGCGTCATTTTTCTTAATCTGACGCATTAAACGCCAGTGAGTGAGTGTGATGAAGATCCTAACCTGACACACAGCCATCGACCTTGTAAACAACGATGTCTGCTAGACGTACACAAACTCATTCTGTCGCTATTCGAAGAATTTTACAACGAAATAACTGCAGCATAAGCTGCAACTGCACTAACCGTACTCAGGTTGGCATATGGAGGCCTAACAATGCAATTTTGCACATTTGCTCACGATTTCATTGCAATGACATTTCATATTCTCGCAAAACGCACTACACGTTCCGTCTTCTCTCAGTTTTTCTTTGAATGGTAGAATAATCAAGAAAGGGAGAAAGGCACTTCCGAAACCGTAACATGAAAAATACGATTCGTTTCAATCATAAAACCTTACCTATTTACAGTCGTTTAACGAAATTCACGGGTATACCACGTTCGGTTGTTCGTTTTAACAGCAGCCGACTTGCGCACCGACTCTACGACGACCGGTAGGGCACCTGAAAGAATTTAGGAGCAGAGTGACGTCAAAGATTTCGACCGTGTTTTTTTTTGTTTGAAACTCGGGCCTCTAGGGAAGCCGCGGTGGAGGGGTGGAGGTGGCAGTAGCGCACGGCTCGGTTGACGTTTGACGTTCTCACGCTTGTGTCTTGGTCTTGGAGACTGGAGATTTCGCTATTTGTTTTGAGATTATCTGTTTTCTAGCGTTGTATGCACCGCCAGCAGTTGCAAGGTAGGCCATGTATACATTTGGCTCACGGTTAGTTATGTTGTGCCTCGACAGTGAGTTATTTGGTTATTTTTGTTTTGCTTTTTTTTCTGAGAAGGAAAGTTTATAAGCGTTGTTTCCCACTCTGCCCCTTCGTTGCTTGTCATTCCTCACATGCCTCGGGCATGATAACTTCCAGTTACACAATCCAATTTTAATCAATCAGTTTTGGTCAACAGACCATTTTAGAAACCTTTTCAATCTTTTATATTTTCCATTCATTTCATTCATGTTCATTCTTGGTCCCAAATGATGAACTTAATTTCTATGTGTTACCTGTTTTACCAAAGCGCTTTGACCAACATCTTTCTGTGCAACAGGTTGTTAAGCGTCACAACTGTAGCTTCCTTCTTTTGCAGATGGATGACGCCATCAGTGTGGCCCTGAGGGTGCGCCCCCTCTCAGCTAGTGAGCTGAGCAGAGGGTGCCAGTCATGCATCGACTGTATACCCAATGAGCCTCAGGTGGTGATGAGAAACACAGACCAGGCTTTTACTTTTAACTATGTGTTCAGTCCTGAGTCTAGCCAGGCTGAGGTGTATGACAATGCTGTAAAGAATTTAGTGCCCAAGTTATTCAAGGGTATGTTTCTTTGGGCTTTCCCACTTTGCTTTACCCTTGGCTGTTGATCTGTTTAATCCTTACTGTGGTTCAATGTTTTCCAGGCTACAATGTGACTATCCTAGCTTATGGTCAAACGGGGTCTGGTAAGACTCACTCAATGGGAACGTGTTACAATGGTGAAGGTGAAATGGGTATCATTCCCAGAGCAGTGAGCGACATATTTGAAAAGATAGCACATTCCCATGATCAAGATTTTAAAGTATCAACATCTTTTATGGAGGTAAATTGTCTGTGGTAACGAATGAATTTGAAGAATAAACAACTTTGACAGCATTAAATATTACAGCTCTACAAAGAACAGTTATTTGACTTGATGGCATGTAGCACTAAACCAAGGGACCAATGCATTGTGGACATCCGAGAAGATGCCAGAGGAGTTCACATCCCAGGACTCGTTGACTTGGAAGTAAAGAGTGTTGAGGAGACATTCAAGAGTCTTACGATGGTATGGAGATACAGAAAAATTTAATCTGGGTCTGTTTGGTTGGGTTGCCTTTTTTTGTTCTACTGTTTCTCTTCCTTTTCAAGGGCTCTGCTGCCCGTGCTACTGGTGCTACAGCAATGAATGCACAGTCCTCCAGGAGCCATGCTATTTTCACACTTACCATACAAATGTGTAAGAAAAACAATGGGTCAGTGTAGTTCCCTCTTTTCCACCAATATTTAATGAATAAATTTTCTTGTGTTTGTATTTTCTTAATCCACCTAGTAACAAATTTATTTTTGATTCCATCTTTAATCCATTTTATTGCAGTGGTGGTGACATGGTTTCTAAGTTTCGTCTTGTAGACTTAGCTGGATCTGAGAGGTCCGTAAAAACTGGTGCCACTGGGGAGCGATTTAAAGAAGGTGTTATTATTAACAAGGGCTTGTTGGCTTTGGGGAATGTGATATCTGCTTTGGGTGATGGACAGCAGAGAGGCTATGTTTCATATCGAGACCACAAACTTACCAGGCTCTTGCAAGGTAAGCTTATTTATGTTATTTTTTAATGACAGCCTAATTTTTCTTCTATTTCTGAATATTAAATCCTGACTGTGTGTGTGTGTGTTTGTGCAGATTCTCTGGGTGGCAATTCTATCACCTTGATGGTGGCATGTGCCAGTCCTGCAGATTATAATTTTGAAGAAACTTTAAGTACACTTAGGTATGCAGATAGAGCTCGTCACATCAAAAACAAGCCTATTATAAACCAGGACCCAAAAGCAGCCGAAATACTTCGCCTTCAGAAAGAGGTTTCATATAGTCATTTCTCAAAATATTATGGATAATTATTTCTGTTACATACTTGCTCTCAGTGTTTCCTGATTTTATTTTGCCCTTTTAGAACTTTTCATTCTGTTATCTATTATTATCTGAACTGAGTGACATTAGGTGCCTTACTTGTTGCGTACTAGTAAGCTTTTATTCTCCTCCTAGATTGCTGTCTTGCGTAAAAAGTTAAGAAAAGCAGAAGAGAATGCTTCCGTACCTGTGGAAGGTGAATCTGAATTAAAGAAGAAATATGATTTGCTAGGAGAAGAAAATGAAAAACTTTGTAGCATCAATGATGATACTGAAAGACTGAAGAGATCTTCGGTCTCAAATGAAAAGGATGGGGATGTAAAAAGTGATGAAGTAAGTCATAGCTGACACAAATGTGTTCTTAAATCAAGTTCTCTGGAGTTCAGTTGATAAATTTTTCTTGGTTACAGTCTGAAGCTGACAATGTTAAATCACCTAATGTTCTAAAAAAGAGAAGAATTAAAAAGCCCCTGAATGAGACATACGTTGAAGGTTTGGAAGGTTTCGATTCATCTGTTGCATCTGACACCGAAACTGATGATCCAGATATGGAAACTGATTACCGTGAAACACCCTTATTTAAACGCCTCACAGAGGCCGAACTACATGTAAGGAACACAAATAAATTGAATAATGATTTCTTTAGTTTTATGTTGCATTTTTACTTGAATTGTTGACTGGGCATTGTTTCAGGTGGAAAGATCCTTATCACATATGCCTGTAGCAAAGAAGCTAAATTTCGCTGAGGATGGAGATCTTGAAAAAGATAAAGAGAATGTAAGTCATAGCTGACACAAATGTGTTCTGAAATCAAGTTCTCTGGAGTTCAGTTGATTAATTTTTCTTGGTTACAGTCTGAAGCTGACATCTTTAAATCACCTAATGCTCCAAAAAAGAGAAGAATTAAAAAGCCAAGGTTTGTGCTAGTTAATTGAATCATACTTGTGTTGAGTTTTGTTCAAGTGAATGGTCTGCTTCTATGAATTTTGTTTTCCTTTACAGATATGAAACATTTTCGGAATTTAATTCACCACAATTGGTTAAGCCTTCTGGGTCAGGGGAATGAAAGTATTTTCCTGAAGCTAAATTTTAATTCCATTGTCTCTTTGTGATATTTTAGATCAAATTTGTTAATCCTGTTTAGCTGTGGAAAGGTTTTGAATTTATTTTGTCCTAATTTACAACTAGAATCTATATAATCTTAACCCTGTACCATACTTAATAATAATAATAATAATAATAATAATAATAATAAAATAATAATAATAATAATATAATAATAATAATAATAATAATAATAATAATAATAATAATAATAATATAATAATAATAATAATAATAATAATATAATAATAATAATAATAATAATATAATAATAATAATAATAATAATAATAATAATAATAATAATAATAATAATAATAATAATAATAATAATAAAATAATAATAATAATAATAATAATAATAATAATAATAATAATAATAATAATAATAATAATAATAATAATAATAATAATAATAATAATAATAATAATAATAATAATAATAATAATAATAATAATAATAATAATAATAATAATAATAATAATAATAATAATAATAATAAAATAATAATAATAATAATAATAATAATAAAATAATGTAAGGAAGTAAAGTACATAAGCAACAATCCCACACTAGTGAGAGACACAGTACACTGATAGGAAATACATACTAATAAGAAATACATGAGCAGCATTATTCAATTATAGTGAGTGAGCCAGTACATACTGGTAAGAGCCTGCCAACATTTTAACTATTTGCTTTACTTAAAGTTCATAAATTCATCAACGCTATAGGGCTCAACATCTATGAGGAATTTCTGGAGGGCTCTCTTAAACCTACTGGGGTCGGAACAATTTTTGATATAGCAGGGGAGATTATTATAGTAAAGACTTCCAGAATGTAGTGGATTATTTTTTGCGAAGTCACCTCTATAGAAATTTAGATGAATGTCATGTTTCCTTCGGGTGTTATGACTATGGACATTACAATTGAGCAGTACATTGCTCTTGTTTGAGAAGAGGTACATAACACATTGAAAAATGTAGATAGCGAATAAAGTCAGGACGTTAAGTCGCCGGAATTGACCCCTGCATGACTGATCAAAGGGGATGTGAGCCAAGATTCGAATGGATTTTTTTTTGTAGACAAAAGATTTTTTTGAGTTCAGTTATGGGAGCATTTCCCCAGATGGATGTACCATAATTAAGATGGGAGTATACTAGAGCAAAGTAGGTTTTATATAGGATTTTATTATCAACGCATTGGGCAAGCTGTTTCATTTGAAAGATGCCTGTTCGGATCTTTTTGGCAGTTTCAGTAATGTGGGTTTTCCAGTTAAGAGTTTTGTCTACATGTATGCCAAGGAATTTAGTGGTTTGATTTTCTGTGATGCTGATATTATTAATGTTTAGAGTTTTATCATCGGACTGGGTGGAGTTTTTTAGGGAAAAGAACAGGATGTTGGTTTTTTGTATGTTAACAACGAGATTTAAGCTGGCTAGGTAGTTGATAATGAGTTCAGTGAGATGCTCGGTGGATAATAATAATATCTTTATTCATCTTAATGAGATGTGGTCACAGACAGAAACAATTTACACAATTTATACAGGATCACTAGCAAGGAACTCTTTAATGGAGTACAATTCTTTGTCTATCAGGTATTTTTTTTATCATTTTTACTAGTTCTTTACCCATTTTGCTTATTGGCTTCGCCCAACGAAAAGAAAAGAAATTAAATAAAATAAAATGGCGGAGCCATAAGGAGTCAGAGCCACGGTCACTGGAAATTGTATCTCACACAGATTTAAGTCAAATGCATGCTCAAAGGGCTTCCTTACTAGAAATTGTGCAGAGAAGCACACAAAGTAAAAAGCAACGCGAAGCATTTCAGAGAGTCAGCGAAGCAGTTGCAGTTGGAGGTGAAGTAGAGGGATGCAAGCAGCATGAACACAGCAGATCACTCCAGAACAGACACCGTCAGCACCAGCAGCTGAAACAATTGCCCAGGTATGTTTGTCACTAAATAATAAAATTCTTGCTTTTAACATGCTGTTAAATTGGTCTTGAGTATATTTTGGAATAGAATTGTATTTTAAAACTAAAAATCTCTTTGATTGCAGACGTTTCATGTGGTGTGTTGGTGGTCAAGTGCTCAACAATGAAATTGAAGGAAAATTGGGTTGTATTGTGCGTCAACATTCCCTATGAAGTGCATTGAACAAGCAACTATAATCGAGGGCATTATGGAAACATCTCACAGAACTTTCCTGTGGCAGAAACATGATGAAGTGTTGCTGCACCATATAATTCCAAAATTTAAATCTGAAGTGGAAAGTGAGTGAATCCGACCAGCATGGCTCCTCAAATTCGGTATGATGAAGTGCTTGGTTTCTTTCAATACATCTCATAATAACTTTGAGCTTTCAACTTGTGACTTTTACTTGTTTTCAGTTCAATGTAGTTTGTGGAAAAGAGTTCAGTCTTTAAAGAGCTTGTCCTCATATGGGAAGGAGGCAAACATTTTTGAGCTTTCATCAAAATGTTTAAGGCAGGACCTATCTTTCAAGGTAATGTGTTATTCTCTGTCAAATAGATCTCATATTTTACATTTGAATAACTGGCTTGTGTTTGAGTGTGTGTGTCTGTGTTTGCTTACCTACTTTTTTTGTTTGCAGATAACTTTACCCAGGAGAGCTCATATTCCGACCACATTGTGAAATAGGCAGTGAAGTGGGAACGGATGTAGCCATGCAGTGCTGAGAAGTCACATTCTCTTTATTAGAACCACTTGAGCATCTTCTAGTATAAAGGTTTGTCAAAAATATCAAATCATTCAATTTTTTCAATGTCCAATTAAAAGTTTAACCTGACATCTATTGTATCTCACACAGATTTAAGTCAAATGCATGCTCAAAGGGCTTGCCTTACTAGAAATTGTGCAGAAAAGCACACAAAGTAAAAAGCAACGCAAAGCATTTCAGAGAGTCAGCGAAGCAGTTGCAGTTGGAGGTGAAGTAGAGGGATGCAAGCAGCATGAACACAGCAGATCACTCCAGAACAGACACCGTCAGCACCAGCAGCTGAAACAATTGCCCAGGTATGTTTGTCACTAAATAATAAAATTCTTGCTTTTAACATGCTGTTAAATTGGTCTTGAGTATATTTTGGAATAGAATTGTATTTTAAAACTAAAAATCTCTTTGACTGCAGGTGTCTTATGCTGATGTGTTGGCGGTCAAGTGCTCAACAATGAAATTGAAGGAAAGTTGGGTTGTATCGTGCGTCAACATTCCTTATGAAGTGCATTGAACAAGCATCTACAGCATCAGCGGCAGAAGCATGTGCTTTATACCATCAGCAGAAAGAAACATTTGCAGCAAGCATGATAGGCAGCCCACCGGACAGGCGTGTGTTGCGGGAATGCCTACCTCCTGCTTTGAAGGGGCTTTACTCCACTTCCCACCCAACCGCCAAGCATTTCCTGAAGAATGCAGTCTTTTTTCTTCTGTGAACTACAGTGAAATTTTGCCCCAAATCGTGGCTAGTGTTTTCTCTACCATAGTTAATATTCTCTGTTAAGTGCAGTTTATATTCCTTGTAATTACAAACAAAATTTCTACTAACTGTAGTAAAATTTGTCTACAGACCACAGACAAGATTTTCTGTACGTCACAGAGTAACTATTCTGTGCCCTGCCAAGAAAACCTGACAAACTTTTCTGCGATTATGAACTAAATTTTCTGTAAATGTGAACAATGTATTCTGTTAATTTGTACATATTTTTGTATTGACATTAATGAAATGTCTATATTGCAGTAAATATTTGTCTATTATTACTGACTTTCCTAGCCTAATATTCTCCATATAGGCCGAATAAATTTTTCTGCAAGTTACCGTTAAATTTTACTGTATCACAGTAACGCTCTAAAATCAGTAAGCTGCAGAGTAAAAATACTATAATATAGGGAAAAAAGTCAGTGGACGGCGGAGAGTGCGTTCCGCTAATTTTTGTTGGGAGTGTAGATAACAAAGGAAGCGCCCATGAGGCCAGGGCTTCACTGCGTGGGGGAGACTTGGCCCAGGGAGCTGACATGAGAGAAGATAATAAAGGCTTTTAACTATTGTGAGTTTAATAAAATTATATACACATAAAAGACTTTTTGTATATAAAATATATGCTGAAAAAGCACAACACTACTATACAAAACAGTGATAAAAAAATATTGAAACAATAAATAAAAATCCCTTATTAGCTTCGCTCTTGTTAAAAGTGACATAAATACACATAAGTGACACACAATATACTTAATCCTTAGGCAAATTTGTTAAACAATATCTCAAGTTCAACACATTCTTGACTAATTTAAAACCCCATATTGACAACTGAACATAAATGGAGACAAACTACAGTACTTCGAGCCAGATTTGTTAAAAATGTTACAGAAGCCACAACATTGAACAGAGTTCATCCACACATTCTAGACTAACTTTAAAAATGTAATACAGCTACAAGATACACCGTATTGATGTTCAATTTAAATATTTCAGAGCCCAAAATGGTATATCGACACATTTCAAAATCAAAATCATAATACAAACAAAACATTCATAGACAACACTCAACAGAACACAACACATTCAAAACACACTGTAGATAGTTAATTCCACTATTTGGCTGGCTTGGACATAGGAGTCTGACTAATGGAGAACTTTCATTTGCCGCTTACAACCAGGTTGGCACATAGAACTAGATAAATTATCACAAGAAGGTGATGGAGCCCTTCAAAAGAGAAACCCTAATCTTCTATGGAAAATTGACAGAGCAAAGGAGGCTGAATTCAGACTAGACTTATGGCTTTTAAAATCATACAACAAACAAACCATTCATTGAGACTATGGATTGCTAATGCAACTTTTTGACTGGCTTCTGACTAATGGATTTAACTTGCCGCTTACACTCAATTTTTACAGTAGAGACAGTTGAGGCAAATCTTAATAAATTGAGAGTTTCATTCTGACATCTCTTACAAACCTACATATTGATAGCTGACAATGTTCACTGATTGAAATCTTACCATGCAGAAAAATATTAATATGAAGTACAGTTATAAGTCCAGAATCAGTTGATAAGTTCAGTATAGATAGACACTGCACGAAACAGGCAACGCATTACTGTCAATGTGATTAAAAAGCATTACAAAAAACCATGGAGCACTGAAGTGGAACATTCGGTTACCATCACTACACTAAAACTTAATGAAACATATCATTTATCACTTAAAAACCTCAGTCTTGCTTGAGATCTTGAAGAACATGCATGTCTTTGTGCAGAGCACAATTATAATAAAATTTATCACACAGTTCGGACATGAACATAACATGCAAATGAGGATGAGTCAATTGAGTTAAGGGAATGGACTCTTGCCCTCTGAAAGACGGATCACGCACTCTGAAGTTAACTCTTGTCGTAAAGCAACCTCCTTCATTTTAGAATTTGAATATTTCTTTTTAACAGCCTGAAAGAAAAAGAAAATTTTAACATCAGAGGTAAGATTATAGGCCCAAAGTTAGCTCCAAGATTCGTGAGGCTACTCACTTCATATTTCCAGGTTGAGGATTGCACAATCACAGCAGCCAAAGCCTTTGCACATTCTTCCACCTCTGGCAACTTGTATGAGGAGTGGTGTACCATCTTGGCATCCCAATTCTGCGGGCCAGTCTTTTCGTTCAACTCAAGAATGCTGCAATGCAAGGAGAAAAAGTAGTAGTAGAAGTCGCAAGGCAAAGAAAGAAAAGGCAGCAAATTTTCAAAAATCCTACCACAGAGAAATGTAGAGGGCAGCAGCAGCAATAAGAGAGGGCGGAACGTGGCAGAGAGAATACTCCATCAAGGCAAGTTCAAGGAAGAACTTGGAAAAGTAGTGATGAATGGTCTTGACCTGCAGCAGAGAAGCAATGTGATTCGCAAGGTTTGCTTCAAGGTAAAACAATCAATATTATCATGAAAGATGTATACCTTCAAAACTTTGCTAAACCGGCGAAGGCAGTTAAGAGATATTGGATAACAAAATAATTTGGAATCCAAATTCTTAACAATCTGATCCTCCATGGAAAGAAGTAGTTCCTCGTTGTATTTGGTTGCAGAAAGAAAGGCATCAGTGGGTGGCCTATCCTCTTCATCATAGTTGCAAGCCACATACATGGCAGCCACTGCAACCAGCCTCAATTCCTCTTTCCCAACAGTTGGGACGGCCTAAAATTCAAAAAAAGAAGTTGAAAATTGGGTGAAACAGGACAGGAATAATGGACAATTAATTGTGTAAAACTCACCTGAAGATACCTATCAAGTATTTGGACAGCAAAGTAAAGTGTCTCTGGTAACAAGCGTAATGTCAATTGGACATCTACAAGCCAATCAACCAATTCTGCTCGCATCCTAGGTGAAATATAGGATTCATGCAAGAAGCCTTTTTTGATAGGATACTTCTCCTACAGACACAGGAAAAAAATGTAAGTGACATATCTAAGAGCAAGAAAAATATACAAAGAAGGGGAAAAAGTTACCTCTCGGGAGCACAGCAGGTCTAAGTAGTCGGCAACAACCAATGGGTTGTTTTCATCTGCTTTGTCAACATCCTCAACGAAATCTTCAGGCTGCACTGCAGCATCTTCCTCTGCAAACAGAATCCAGGTAATGACAGTCTAACAGGCACTTACTCCAGGCAAAAACAAGCTTGTGGCCGCTTACCTTTGACAGACGGTTGAGTTTGAGGGGCAGGCAGTACAACCGATGCCACTGAGGTGTTACTGACTGTGCGCTTGACTCTTGCTGCTATGTTAGGACTGGGCAGCGGTCTCACTAAATCTTTGGGAGGCTTTACATTTATACAACTACCAGTTGAGTAGGATCTCTGAATAGGTTTGACAAATTCCCTACACAAACAGGACATCAAGGGAAATTAATTTTATAAGCACGAGAAGTGACTTGAGTATGAAATTGACACTTACTTTTGACCTGGGAGGGCACCAGGCTCCAAAGTAGCCACAGAATTGGAGCACCCAACAACATTATTACCGATTTCCCCCAAAGCCGAGCGCTTGACACCAAGGGTAGTTGTTGACGTGATGAGGTTTTCGGACTGACCGTTCACCTGAGACCATCAAAAACACAAAGTGAAATAGGTTGAACCCGACCGAATGACAGAAGCAACTGGCCTAATTGTCACTGACTCCATTGTTGACAAATCAGCTGAGCATACTAGTGACTCAGGCATCATGCCGGGACAGTGGAAAATAGACAAATTGGGGATGGCATCCAAATGATTTTTCCCTTTGAAACAGAAGATAATGTTAAGGAAAACGCCAAGCGAGCGAAAAAATGGAACAAGAGGAAAATGAAGATGACGTGAGGCGGTGCGGACAGCAAGGTAAAGTGTCTCTTGTAACAAGCCGAATTCCGATTGGACATATACAAGCCAATCAACAATTACTCACATCAGATTGTGCGGAATCCTCCGCATTCGTTTTCTCGGTTAACCGAAAAACATTTTAAACTCAAAATAAACTGATGCAAACAAAGTGACTACCTGGTAATCTTTTGGTAAAGAGGCAAGTTTCATAGTATCTAATGGCATGTTAACGTTGAACAATGTTTGTGCTGCTTCTATGATAACATCACTCTTGCCGCCATTTGATGCCTTGTGGACAAAGTATAGTGAGGATTTTTCAATGGGAGCCCTACTTTTGTCTACAAACACAAAAAAGTTTGGAAAAAAGGCAAAAAATTAACTGTTTTGGAATGTAAAAATTTGAAAATTTGTATCTTAGGACAAAAGTTGAATTTGAAAATTCAGTCTCTAAATTCTCCTCTATACATCTTTAGGATAACCCAAAAAGTTTTTCAAGACTTTCCGTCCCAATGAAAGACGAAGGAAGATTTTTCCCCAAGGGAAAATAATTTAGTAAATACCCCTGCATGATCTGTAAACTGAATCAACTCCCATCACTCTTCACGCGCGGACGGCGCAACCCCAATGAGCCCCCTTAAGGGCGCCCCTATGGGGCCTGCAGGCCCTCATCGGATGGGGGTAGTCTCGCAGTGTGGCACGTCCCACGCGACGCGCACGGCAGCACGCGTGCACACCCCGACTCGCCCGCCCGAGGGCACTGTGTATCGAACCTGAACCACCGACGAGAACTGTGAATTATAGTGACAAGTAACTTTACTCCGTGTTACGTCGTTCCTTGCGTCAATTGCCTTTCCCAAACCTAACATCCACTGCGATACCTTTCTAGCGCCAAGAGAACCCTGGGCAGGATAGGTCTGAGACACCGTCCACAACAGTACACTAGTACACTAGTAACTCACCCCTTCCTGCCGCAGCGGCGGCGGCTGGGGCTGGTGGGGCTGCTGGGGCGGCGGGGGCTGCCTGTCCTGTAACACAAAACACACAAGGCTAAGTCTAGTTCTGCGTGCGAGACGGCGGCGTGGCAGCTGTCAATGCCAAGGAGCGATGAGCCAAACGACGTCCACCGCGCGCACTGCTGCGGCCAGCAACGCGAGGCGAGGCGCTCTTGCTGTCTCTCCTCTTCCTGCCCCTCCTCTTCCTGCCTGTCCTCTCCCTGCCTCCCGCCCTGCCCCAGCTCTCCCAGCTTACCTTGCCTGCGAACAAAGGGGAAAACCATAATTAGAGGTCGCTTTAGAAACAAAATATTGAAGCCAAATGCATTGCTGAACGTTAAGAAGAAAGTTTGCTTACCCCGCCCGCCGAACTGCTTCATATGTTTTTCGTAGACCTCCGCCGCCACGGGTTTTTTTTTAATTTCATGGCGTGTACCTGAAAAACGAGTTAGACATTAAAAAAACGTTAACGCTAACGTGAAAGCAGACGATACTTATGGGGATGTTTATTGAAATGTATGAATGTGACATTTTGTCAATTTCTTTCAAAGAGTAAACACTCGGAACCCTTTTTTTGACAAATTTCTCACGCATGGTAATTCATGAAAATGTCAATTTTAGTATAACTTTTGAATATCCTAACGTGCCATTGTTTTGTGTTAAACATGTTCGCAATGACGGTGGGACACTCATATGTCCGATACCACTTGTGTTGGGTATCATTTTCGTTGTTTCAACGCGAGGATGCACAATTTGGTGGCTAATCACATAAATACTCAATACCCGTAAAAGTTGTGTTCGGTACTAGGGCAAGGCGCCTTGCGGCACGCGGCGTGTCAGCCTCATCTCCAAGCGGGGCCGGCCGGCCGGCGCGCCACCCGAACCCGACCTCAAGATAAGCAAGAGTGGCGCACACTGCCGACTGCCGACGCGCCGCTTCTCGAGAGGGACTGGGGTTCGGGGGGCGCTGCACTATGCGTTCTACGCACTCAAGGCTCAAAAGCGTGTGTGTGTAGACTGTTGCGGGGTGTGGCGGGGCGCGGCGGGACGTGGCGTCTCGGCAAGGGAATGGGCGAGGGGGGCAGCTACGCGATGCGTGCTAGCAGCGTCTCGTAACGACGCGCAACGCGAGGGACGCACTTCATGAGTACTAGAGAGCTGGGTGTCGAAGGTCGATACTCACTCTTTTTGTGGTCCATCATAGCTCGATCTGTTTTGAACTTTCTATCTTCACAATTCAAACACACCCACATGAGCTGCAACAGAAAAAACAGTCCACCGTCAAGCAAAGGCCGCAGTGGCCATTCAGTTTAACGCGGCGGAGACGGGAACTGGACATTTTCACCCACGGGGCCGGCGGTGGCGGTGGCGGTGGCGGTGGCGGTGGCGGCAGCATCCATGGCACTGCAACAGAATTCATTTCATTTAGCCTCACACCAAAGGAAGTAGCAGGGCAGCAGGGGCAGGCCGGCCGGCCCACGCCCACGCAGCGTGCGAACTTGGCCCAGCGGCGGCGACCTGGCGACCTGGCGCGTTTGGCGACGCAAGGTAACTGGGATGCCCGCTCCCGAGGCGGGTTGTCCGGCTGTCCACCTGCCAGCCTGTCTGTCTGCCAAGTGGCCAAGGGCAAAATGTGCTATGACAGAGTCCCCACGTGGCCCCAACCCGAGCCCGATGCGGGCGTGCCGTGGCGTGCCGTGCATCGCACACGTCATCCTGAGCTCATTAGGTCACTTAAAGTCCTTGGCCGCGCTAGGCTGGTACCGCAAAGCTTCACTCACCGCACTTCTCTGCTCGCTTTGGCCGGCCGGTCGCAGACTGACGAGAGGCTGGCGTGGCGGCCCGTCTGTCTGTGCGTCTGCAGTGGCGGATTCAGGGCCGTCCATGGCTCGTCACCGCTGTCAGCCAGCGGGTGCCTTGAACACCCCTCCCCCTTCCCCTCGCCTGCAGCGGCTGCTGCCGGCACTGCCGGCCGGCCGCCGGCGTGGCTGTGCCTGGTGCCTCGCCCGGCGAAACGCGTCTGTCTGTCCGTCGTTTGACGTATCGGATCGCCGGCCCAGTGTCTACCCACCCCACCTCACCCCACTTTTCTTAACGGACGCACAGGTCCGCCCGTTACGTGCCTCTAACAAATAGCACATTTTGCCCTTACGCTTGGTTCGAGTCCCATTAGGCGACTCTGGAGCTCAAAACGCGTCCGGGAATTTGACCGCCTCCACCGGTCTTCTGGCCCAGGTGCGTTCGCCATGGAGACACCTGTCTCGCCGAACGGGGCTTTCTGGCGCTGCAAATCACGACCTTTAATTGCTTTGGCATAATTATGGCCGGCATCGCTCTCCGCGGTCGGTGAGGGGGATGTTTGGACACACTCCACGGAGCCATTGCCTCATAACCGAACGACTCCGCTCCTCGCACCCCTTCGGTACGCCGGGTACGCCCCGTGAGTGCGAGAGAGACAGCGACAGGCGCCCGCACCTGTTGCAGTGCTGTGCCCAGCCCGCATGGCCGCGCCGTCGCGCCACTCCTTGCGGTATCGGTAACATCGCGACTGCAGTGGACGGCCGTTCGAACCGAGAACGCGCATACATCGTCGGCCACCTCGGCCCGACTGCTCCAGTTGACCGGCTGGCCAGGCAGGCCATGGCTGCGGCCGACAGCCCACGGCACACCGCGCGGCGCTACGCGGCGCGGCTGCTTGTTGTGAAACCGAAAATGACAGCCAGAGAGCCGCGGCCCGTATCCACGGCCACGGCCTCCTGGGCCTCCTGGGGTCGCCGTAATCACCAGGGCAGAAACACTTACAGTGGCCAGCAGGGAAGCAGACGACGTGGAGTCGAAGGGGTTGTCCGTCAAGGAGCGCAGGGCAGCAAGCAGGACGCCGGCACGGTGATGCTGGGGCTGTCAGGCTGTGAGACGCGACTGAACGACTGAACCATAGAGTAGACTGAACTGCAGTGAGTGGCGGTCGGATGGGATGCGTGGCTGTGCTCTGCGTTGCGTGCCGTCGACACCGCCGTCCGCCGTCCGCCGGCACCGCCAGGGCGCCGAGAGCGGAACCGGGCTGCGTGCGGGGCGCGCCACGTCCTAGTCCCTCCTTGCCGCACGGCAGGCCGAGGCAGGCCGAGGCAGGCCCGGCCCGGCAGCGCGACGGAGACGCGCGGCGTCGTCTCGGACGTGGCCGTCGATCAACCAAAGGGTGGGGGCCGGTAGGCCGGGCGGAGGGGAGGGGTGCTCTCGTCGCCCTCTCCTCTCCCGGCGTCGACGCGGCTCGCCACGGCGCGGCCGCGTCGTCTGCTGCAGCGTGGCTGCAGGGGCGCGTCGGCAGCATCCGCGTCCTAGGCTTGGGTGTCAACCCGTGGGGCAGGGGGGGGGGGGCAACCTGAGGGCCAGGGGGCTGGATGGTCGGTAGCGGGCATCGGAGGGAAAAGTCGCGATTATGCGGGATAAAAGGCAAATGTCCTCTAGCGGGCAGGCGGTGGTGTGGCCTACCTCTTGGGCGCTACACCGGCAGACCAGCTACTCTGGGTAAAAATTCGTGAAGTGTGCACGCTCCAAAACGCGACTGCGGCGGATCCATTTCCGAGATAGTAGGGACTTTGGTAGAGAACTCCGGATTTGTGCCGGCTTTGTTTATATGCTGGTCTGCTTCACTCGTGCAAATTTTTTCAGAGTGTCAGAGACATGTCTAAAATCCTGATCAAAATTCGCGCACCTCTAAAAGCTGAAATTCTGAAAACTTATGCTAAAATTGATGGTCTGAGTTCTGCAGAATGTCAGAATAAGTTTTCAGCTTTCAGAGGTGTGCGAATTTTGATCAGGTTTTCACGAGTTACACGAGTGTTATTTCAGTTGAACCAATAAAGTGTGCAAATCTCGCATAGTGATGGCAGGCGACGAGAAAGTAATTGAGAGGGCTGGACAGCACAAGCCGCCGTCTCTTGTGCGGATGTGTGCAGGAGAGTGAAAAGGAAAATGGAAGCATGGCAGGAGCCATTTTGTTGGTGTAGCGCCCTAGGGGTAGGCCATGGCCATACCACCGGCTGCCCGCTAGAGGACATTTCCCTTTTTTCCCGCATAATCGCGACTTTTCCCTCCGATGCCCGCTACCGACCATCTCCCCAACCCGTCACGGGTTCCTGTACAGTGCACGTGCACAGGACACGTTCAGCGCGCGAAACGAGGCGGACTTTGGAATCCTCGCACGCCTTGACATTGCGCCATGCTGGGTGCTGGTACTTCCCTGTAGGGCCTAGCAGGCCGCAGCGCACTCCTTGACGGACAACCCCTTCGACTCCAACAACACCAGGTGAGCACGCTGCCGACGCCTCGCTGCGCCTCGCCGCGCCTCGCCGCGCCTCGCCCTGACCTGTCCCGACCGCGGAATGCATAATGGGGCGGCCGATTAGCGAGTCGTTTGATTAGTGCTTCGCCTGAAACTATCCGCCTCGCCGGCCGGCCGGTGCTTGGAGTAATACTGTGGAACCTCCACCCAAAATAGAGTCTAGAGCCATTGAGGAGTACAAACAATTTAGAGCCAAGTACTTAGCTCAACAATAGTCATGGTTACTTATAAAAAATTGTTTCTTAATTTCTTTGTCTTATGCCTTGCATATTTTAATGTTTTTTTTAAATGAACTCATCACACCTTTACAATCTATGAATTATGTCTGTCTATTTTTTTTTTCATTTTTGTAGAGGCAATTTTATTTGTGATCCCTTTGTTGACTGCTGGGGGTGAGCTCGATCAATCCACGGATATTCTGATCCAAATATTTATCTTTAATTTAAGAACATAAGTATAATTTTTATTATTTATTTGCCTTATCTGATCCAACAAAATCCCATGCAATTGGTATTAATCAGAATTAATTCAAATTTATTGTTGTTTTTTTTATTCATCTATATTATCTCAAAGTTATTGAAACTGGTGGAAAGCCGTGGCTGTCGCTGCCGGAGGGCAGAAGTAATGTTGATTTGTGTTCTGGTGTTTTGGGGTCGCACGCTGGTAGGCTAATTCTTATGGTATGGGTGGCTGCTGCGGGGCTATACAATGAATGAGAAGTTTCGTGTGCGTGAATTTATTGCGGTTTGAGTGGAGTGGGTAGCAAGCAGACGAACAGCACACGTTCATGGATCAATCAGCCTGCCACTGAAGATATATGTTACGAAACTTCCCATCCATGCTATAGCTTCGCAGCAGCCACTGCACTGCACTCAATTTCTCGCAAACCCTGAGAACTAGCCTACCAGCGTGCGACCCCAAACCGCCAGAACACAAATCAACATAACTTCTGTCTTGTGGCAGCGACAGTCGCGGCTTTCCACCAGTTTCAATAACTTCGAGATAATATAGATAAAAGAACAAAAAATACAATAAGTTTGAATCATTCTGATTAATACCAATTGCATTCGATTTTGTTGGATCAGATAATGCAAATAAATAATAAAATTTCTATTTCTGTTCTAAAATTAAAGAGAAATATTTGGATCAGAATATCCGTGGATTGATTGAGCCACCCCCGACTGCTGTTCAAGTCATTTTTTAAGATTTAGTCATTATTGATTTAGTCATTAGTGATTTAGTCATTTGTGATTTGTTATAATTTTAATTTGTTCCTGGCTGACTGCCAGGTGAAAATCCCAATCCCTCCTGAGCTTGAAACCTGCCGTAAAACGAAGCAATTGGACTTTATTTTACTTGTGATATTGTGATAAGATTCTTTAATATTACGTTAATTTTAGGTGTACATAGGGAGAGACTATATTATTATTTTATTTCACAGTATTTTTAAGCATTATCATGGGGGTATGATTCATTTGTAAAAGTATTTGCATTGCATCACTTTATTGTTCCTTTGTTCCATTACTTTACCAAGTTCAAAATGTCTAAAATTTGTTTGTTTCCTTATACTTGATAGAACAGGTGGAAAAAATTTCCCTCCTCCTCCTGAGAAACCCAGGGTTACAGGGTTACTACATTGTAGCTAGACGTGCCGACATGCCTGCTTCTACAGTGGATCGAACAATGGGGATGAAAAAATGCCAGTATTGTTGGTGAAAGGCCCCTTAAAATTTCTGTGTATTTTTGTTTCCAGCACCTGGCTGAGAATGCCTAGTTCGAAAGAGGAATTTCAGACTGCTTTGAAAGAAATTGCATAGTGTGACAGGCGCAATAAGTTTTATTTCGAGTTGAGTGACGACACTGGGGTCCGGAATGAAGCGGTCAAAATTTAGTTTCCGAATCTGCATGATGTTACTCTAATATTTGAATTCAGAGGGTCGGTACGAGCCTGCTTTGTGCCTACACTCGCAGGGGACGACACGACGCCACCATGCGGTGGGGCTACGAAGCTGTCCCGTGATCGGGGTGTTGTTTATGGTATTTGTGACCATGGCTGTGACAAAAGTCAGGCTTATTCACTAAGTTATTTATTTGAAATATGACGAAGTATGTTATCGCCGGTCTTGACAATACCACATTTACAAAAAATACTGTTGCCTCGATCGAATAATTGCTTGACAATTCGTACGTGAAGTAGGGTTATTTTCGTCTGCTCGGGGCCCGCTGCCAAACTTCACACACAATCATTTTGTTCTTACGTTTCCACAAATTAGCAAAATAAACAACTCAAATGTGACTAGAGAATGGCTAAATAATTGTCAGAAAAGAGGCAAAAAAAATTCTGCAGCTCAAAACGTCTCAAGTTTTTTCAAACATCTCAATTCTTAGTGTGTCTTAATGTTTAGTAGGTTGGCTACAGAGCTTCTTAGCCCCGCCGCATGGTGGCGCCACGGGTACCCCAACTTACACTCATTAGGCCGACCGTGACGTCACTCGGCTCCTAAATTCTTTCAGGTGCCCTACCGTACGACGACGACCTCCCTCACAGGGCTGTTCAGCTTGGAGCAGCTTCCTGTCACCATACCAACAGTCCAAGTCGAAAGTAACTATGCCTTGGCGAGCACTTGCACAGGCTCCTTTCTTGGTTGTCGTTTATTTGTGTGTCGAACTGGTAACTGATACCATTTCTTGACATGTCAACGAAATGTCTTTACGATTGTAATCATTGCGGTTGGGATCGAGGAAAGGAACGCAACTGCTCCCTGCTCTCAACTGGATGGACTCAAGGACTTTTACCCGCGAATTTCAAATAAAAGAATCTGTCAGTGTTGTCAGTGTGATCGTGTTATTGGAATTGGGGGAAAACTGAAAACGCCAATTCATTTTTGAAACTAATACCTACTTTTTAATAATCATCGGGGAAGTTACACATAATGGGCACTTTTTCCATCACAATTGTCACAAATAGGTCAGTTCCAAAATTTTTGAGGAGAAGAATTTAATGTTGTTGGATGGATTCTGATGTGAACGGTTTAATCTTACTACAAACAAGCACCACAATCTTAACTTTAAACAAACTGACATCATTTGGTATAGATTCATTATGCTGCAGGATCAATATCCTCAAAAACAGAAAGGTCTAAATCACACTTTGGACTAAACACCAAAACACATAGCTACAACTTTGGGCCCTATTCAAATCATTACAGTAAAGTAATTTCTGAGCCTGAGTAAAGGACCCCTGTTAGTATAGAATTCGTTCAACTAAACCAAAAGTATAATTTGTCTAATAATAAACTGGACTTCTAAACAGAACAATATAATAATCACACAATTTGCACAAGATTTTGTGTTCAAAATATTTTGCATCCAACAGTGATAATGAACAGAGACCATGATATCTCCACAACCGTGAAAATTTCATTGTACTATCAAAATTTGCAGAGTGTTTAGTACATGTGAGCAATGATCAATGATACTAGTATAATGTGCATCATTCTCAACTCTACCTAAAGTCAACAGTCATCACTCCACAATCTTGCAGTTATAGTCTAATTCTAACACCATAAAAAGTTTTAAAAGTAAAATAAACAAAGAAAAGTCAGACTTGCATCCCCAAAAAATTAAAGGAGAAGAGTGGAAAAAGAACAATCATAATTAAAATAAAATGGAAAAGTTTTATCGATAGAGATCTTAAGACCCCTTTTACATGACAGAAAATTATATCACTTCAGCTATGTGACCTGGAAACAAATTGTACACTGAACATAAACATTAAAAGAATGAGATTAACAGTTATGCTTTATTTTGTTTGTTTAAGTCACTACTCACAGCCAGTATGATATGACAGCATTTTGCTATATCACTATCACTGTCGTCTAAATATTAATTAAATTCAACATCCAGAAGGGAAACTTCTATCAATCATACAGTAACACACAATATAAGCCAACTCTAATGCAATATCAACAAAAACAATACTTCACAGCAAATTGGAGAGACTACATAAAAACGACAGCATTTGGGATTTACAATCAGAAATGCAAAGATATGCGTTGCTAGAGGATATTATTTTTTCGAGTTAAATGAGTTGTAAAATAAGCTAAATCTTAAAAAACTCATGTTAACTCAGTGGTAAATCCTAAGATTAAAAACTTCATTAATTTCTGACATGCCATCACATTTAAATGAAAGGCCAGAAATGGAAGAATTGAGTTTTGTGAAGGAACACATTAGTGCATTGCCCCATACCTTAGTTCAGCTTCAAATTGCTCTGGTTTTATTGTGCCATCAATCGCTTCACAATTTGGGTTGAAAACTGAATAGGCACTTGGTTCACCTGGTTTCTTTTTCTTTGTGCGTGTATTAAGCCACATTAGAACCAACAATGACAGAATGAAAAACACAGCACCAAATTCTAGCTGGACAGCTATACCCATTAGTGTCGCCCACAAGAGTGTGTACAAAGCGTATAGGGTGATAGAAAGCCATGGTGGGGATGAGCAGCCTGAGTCGTCTTCATCGTCAGATCCTCCATTTTCAACATTGTCACATCCAAATGTCCCCAGCAAGTGGTGTGTAGAGTCATCTGAATCCACACCTTCTTCCTGATGATAACAGATAGAATATTTTATTAGTTTCCTCTCAATTCAATAACAAAATAGAACACTGACAGGCTCTGTCAGTGGGCCCAGCAGACGATGTGTCCACGTACGGCGTATTCAACAAACAACAATTGAGGCGATAAAATAAACACCGTACGTTATCGAATCAGAGTTAAAAATGCCTAACAGAAAATAATGGTGTGACAAATATTTACCCTACTGTCCTCTGCTCCTCGCCTCTCTGGTGAACTAGGTGGAGTGGTGGAGGGACTAGACGCCGAAGAACCTCCAAACATCATGAAAGACATAGACAAGAAAGCCTCTCTGCGCTTGCGCGCTCTATATTCGTATAGCTTCTTATCCATTATTCATGATTCAAGGAAAAATAAATCTGGCAGTCAGTAGAAGATAAAACCAGGGCGAATGAAATCAAGACGTCAACACGCAAAAAAGACAGCAGACGCAACGACAGCAGACAGTTGGCTGTAAATAAAGGGATTCTGCAAATAGTAGCATCGTGTCAAAACTAGCAGAAGCTAAATTTTGCAAACGAAAATTTCTCCGCATTCAAGCATTGTTTGACTCTATTCGTTTAACTTTATCTGTCATTCTTTTATTTTTTGTTTGGTGATAAAAGAGAAGAGAAGTGCTGCTCAGCAGAAAACAGAAATCAGCGGAAACTCTCTGCCTGCAGGGCACGTTCCCACAGCCAAATAAGCGGAGCCATGTTGGGTTTTCTAGCAGAAGGAAATGCAGAAAATTATTGTATTTGTTGAAAAGAATTAGACGTTTGAAGTCAGTTTTCACTTAACATAGCATCTTGTTCTTATCATTCGAACCATGTGCTTAATTTTGTAAGGAAGTTATGTGTGAATTTTCTGGGAGTAAGGTGGAAATATAAAGGCAATATCTTGAAGGTAAAGAGGTCATGTTTGTTTTCATAGCTGTCAAAGACTTCGTTGAGTCTTTCTTTGTTCGGGTTTATCGTATTTTTACCCACGATAGCAAGATAAGATTATTTTGTTTCTTTCTCTAGATGTTTTCGTGAAATTACTTTAATACCAGTTGTAGCGCAACTCGGTCAGGGCACGAAAATGGACGGGCACTCTCAGGTTGATGGAAGCCACAGTTACATTACTGTCATTCCTGTTGACTATTCTCGAGGGCGTGGGTACGCTCAGCAATCGCCAGATTACCTTGATCAATATGTGTAAGAGTCAGCATTGTTCAAAGTTTTTGTGTCATTTGAGTGAAGTGATTCTGTTTTTATTGGGTTTTATTCTTTTTTCTAGCGACTACTCTACGGAAAGAGCCAGGGATGAATACATACGTGGGGACTACAACATCAACTCTGAATCCCAGTATGATAAGCTTAGCGGATTGTATGCACCACCTGGGTATGAGAGAGACAAAACTCATTCTCATGTAGCAATAGACAGAGAAGCTATGGAACGTGAGGGGATGGAGAGGGATCGTGCAAGAGATCGGTCTCAACTAGCTCAAATTGGTGAGTGCAGATTTGTATTTTAGCAGTTTATTTTTCATTCATATGCATTCTGTTACCAAAGTCTGTTGTTCTTCCGTTATAAGGTGATACTGAATGGGAACGAGAAAGAGAGCGCACACAACACCGTCATATTCAGCATGATAGAACAGAGAGAGAGCGATGGCAACATTCATACCTACCCACAAATACTATTGACCGAGAAAGAGAGAGAGAAAGAGAGAGGGAGAGAGAACGGGAACAAAGAGAAAAAGAAAGAGAGGATGAATGGGAAAGGGAGAGGGCTGCACACATGGCGAGTAAAGTTCAAGTGCCTGCAGATTCATGCAACATGGGAATGAGTGGAATGAAGGACAATAGTAGTGCTGTCCACAATGAACCTGCAGTGGAGAAAGTTGCATTACAGCCCTTCTTAAATCTAGGATCTAGAGGTGAGGAATATTCTGTTTCGTCTTTCTTCATTTCTTTATTACATTTTATTCAATGCACTGATTTTACTGCTGTTTCCTCCAGGTGCCCCCTTGTGTGTCTACCTAATGTCTCGAGTGGCATTGCACATGGAGCTGGAGGACAGAGAAAGTACTACAACAGCTGAACTTATGACAGCAATTTTTCAAGAGAATGAATTGGGTCTCCCCACCACTGCTGGTGCCCTTTTCTCTTTGTGGATGTGTTCTGGGTTGCTGGGTATGTTTCAAGTATCTGTTGGGCCAGTTCTTGCATCCCTCTATTGATTGTTATCTTTTAATTCAATACTGTTTTTCCTACATTTAGAGCTTCAGTTAAAACCTCAGCATAAGCCATTTGAAATTAGACGACAATGGTCTTTGCTGCTGAACCAGTATTGCAGTGTCTCAGAATCACGCATTGAAAGGGATGAGCCAATTCTATCATTCCAAAGGAATGTTTATTTCCCTCGCAGGGAAGAAGAAAAAATCAAGTATGTGGCTTATGGGAAAACTAAATCTGGGTGCTGGAGTTTCAATAACTGGTTGCCTTTTACTTATGTTTCTGTCACCTCAGGGACCACAAGTGTTTGACACTTCTGTACGAAGAAGCACGATATAATATTCTAGAAGGCCGATATCCCTGTGAAATGAGTCATTATTTGATGCTTGGAGGAATTCAAGCTCGCATTGAACTTGGTCCATACAAACCAGAAGAACATACAACCCAGTACTTCAGGTAACTTTGGTTTGATATTAAATATTTTGTTGAGTACACTTGCTCTAACTGAAAGAAAAATTTCAACAGGGAACACAAGGATAAATTTCTACCTGCCCATGTTAGAAGAACATCATGGTCCTGGCTACCAATAAGTGGAAAAAACTCTCCAGAAGTACGACTTCTAGAACATTACAAGAGAATACCCAATAATATGTCTGATAGACGTCTAATTAGAAAATATCTTGAGTTTTGTTGGTCTCTGCCTTACTATGGGTATGCTAAAAATAATTTTAATTTCAATACTGTACTTATTTCAACAAGTGTTCTGCTTGTTAGCATTTCTAATTTTTTTTTCTTCCTCAAATTTTGACATTGCAGGAGTGCCTTTTTCCAAGGACAGATAGAACAGCCTCTACGAGGCCTCACTTCATTGGTCACTCACCAGGATGTGCCTGTTCTTGTTGCAATCAACTCTCAAGGAGTTTATGTCATTGACGACATCCAAAGTGTACGTGAAGTTTGTGCACTTGAAACCAGCCTGCTTTAAAATTTGTTCAACTAAAATTATAATTTTTTTTTTCTTTTTCTCAGGTTGTTCTACTTGGTCTTAAGTATGAAGAGCTATCTTGGGAATTTGCAAAACCCTCATCACCTCAGGAGGGTAATGTTAACTGCTTACCATGCCTTTTCTTGCAATTCATGGTGGTTGAAAATGGGGCTCGAGTATCAAAAATTTTGCAAGTGTTTTCTAAACAGGTCAGTGGCAATATTATATGATACAGAGATTTGTTTTCAGAGCTTCTAGTCTGATATCTTATTCAATTACTTTTTTTCTTCCCTTTTGATCAGGCTCTTATGATGGATGCTTTAATATCAGTGTTTGTGGAGGAAATAAAAAGAAAAACAGCAGCTGGCAATTATAATGATGAAACTGATAGACCTGTGTATGATACAGCAACTGACAGTGATGGTAAGTTACATGGGAAGAAAAATTGATAAATAGAGAACAAAACTGGGATCACCAATTGGATCTTTAACTATTGTTCTGTTTTATATCCTAGACACCCAGATTCCTCTCACAATGATGAGCAGGCGGGAGTTGCCACAATCTTGCATTAGTAACAAGCTAAGCAAGTTAACTTTGGCAACCTTTGATGAGGAAGGTAAGACAACTTTGTCAATTTTAGTCTATTCGCATGACATAGAATAATGCTTTAAAACTCCTTTTGGTCTACTTTTTTAAAGTGTGCTTTTCCTACCCTGTTTTGATTTAAAGCTTGTTACTGTAACAGATGAAAATCTCGAATCCGAATCTAGTCCTCTCGGACGTGCCACAACTAGTGTTTGAGTGTAACACCTGATTGATTTATTATTTTATATCCTTGCACCTGATGCTTTGGAAACATGGTTTTATTTTGCATGGCCTAATGCACTAATAGTCTAGAAAGCGTACTTTTACTCCTCATAGTTTCTGGCTGTTGAGTTCATCCAATACTTAAAGGTAACTATGGCTCTCAGGTGAATGGTTTTATATTATTCTTGTACCACTAATCTTGCTTCTCGGTGGTGAGATTTTTTTTTCTGGTTTTGTTTTTAAGTCAGATCTTAGATCACTAAATAAGTGTTTGATAAAATGGTCTAATATGACTTTTTGTGTTTCTTGTTGCAGGTCGATGCATTGGGCAGTCAGGGTCATGGTCATTTAGCTACTGATTGTGACTTTCAACAAACGTAACTTTTATTAGACTCCAAGGCATGTTTGTTCCCTAGCTTGGAATTTCCCTTTCTGCATTTGAATATTTTGAGAACTTGTGTGTTTATAGGTTCAATTCAATATATTTTATTAGATCTCAAGTGCAAATTTACTCCTAACTACAAGTGTACAAGTGTAATGGGAAGTCGTTTCACTCATCCTTGAAACTAAAATCGTTTTTCTGGAGATTTGTATCTCTCAAAGGGCTCGTGGTTTGTACATAAATGGAAGTCAAATGTGCTGCTGGTCAGTTTGAAAGTATCTCATATGCCATTGTATTGTTAATCTCTCCTCACATCATGGTGAGAAAAATTGTGAAGCCTTCTCTTTCTTTTATCGATGTGTGTTTGATTCCATCACATTGCAGCCTGACCAATTAGCTTGATGGCTAATCTTTTAAGCTTAAAAAAGTTCAGCTTAGCCTTATTTTAAGTGTGATTCCTTTCTTTTTAAAAAAGAAAACATTTATGTTAGTTACCATTTTAACTTTGTTTTATAATTCATTGTTATTTTCATCACATTTTATTTTGCTGTTGTTAGATGTAAGGCCAATCAGTTTAATTTTATCTTAAGACATTTTTTGTTTACTTATTCTCTTTTGATTTTTTTCTTTGTTTAATGTAGTTTCATGTGTAATACCTGACCATATCTGTTAAAGTTTTTATTTTGATTGATGACTGTGCTCAGTCTGAATAGATATATTTGACTCCAAATGACTAAATTAAGATCTAATTAGTATTCTTGCATATTAATGTAAGAAATTTATCTGTGGTCTGAATTTGCACATGAACGTGCCAGATAGTTTGTGATGTTTGTTTAGGAAAAGTAAAACATATTGGACACAGAAGGGTTTTAATAGCATGGGAAACATTTTAAAGCAAAATTTCTTAAGCACAGATTGTAGAAATAAACAGCTAACATGGTGATGCTTTTAAAATAATATTCCAAGGATTCCAATTGATGCTTGGTGATGATCTCAAATGTAATTCTCATAAAACGAACGCTCTCGTTTGGGCCGGAACAAATACCACAACATCTAGACCACCTGGAGAGCTCCGTCATTCCTTTCTGTTCATCAGTATTATTGTAAATTATTGTGATTAAAGATCCAACATGAACTGGCTGTTTTCCTGCTTTCTTCCCTACCCGCACATCAGTACAACACTGCCAGCCTGGGGTCTGCTCGGAGGCAGGCTTCAATGGCCAGGTAGCGCTGGGAAGCCATCTCACGGTGTCGATTAAGACGGATTTGCAGTGTTTGTAAAAGAAAATCGAGTTTTTTACTTTCCTCCAAAGTATTATCCTCCTCTTCGGGCGTTAGCTTCTCTTGATTTTCCTCGTACCACTTGTTCAGTTCCTGAAGACGCTCCTTTTCCTACAGTAAAACAAAGGGATTAACAAACGCATGCAGCCATCGGGCTGGCGGAAAGGATACGTAACCGATGACATTGAGTTGGGATTCGAACCCGGGCCGGGCCTTACCGTTTCGAAGCGGTTCTGCATGTTCTGGGCGCGGTTCACGTACTGCTGCTTGAAGTCGCTGAGGCACTGGTCTCGCATGGCGAGGGCCTGCGCGGGCGAGAGGCTGTCGGGGTAGCCGAGGCGGGCCATGTAGGGCGCCAGGAAGTCCACGTCGGCCTCCACCTCCCGCGCCTCTTCCTCCAGCAGGCGTTGTTCCTGTAATCCACATGATAGCAATCACAAAATACGTGACATTTCGATTCCAAGGAGGGACCTTGTCGGCCTGCCTCTGGCGCACCCTTTCTCGCAGCCCCTTCTTGGCCTTCTCGTTGCGCTCCTCGTCGAACAGCGAGACCTGCAGCCGCGGCATCGCCGTCTCCACCATCCGCATCCGCAGGAAGCTCGAAAGCTGGGCAAACGAGCGGGGCACTCAGCCAAACAACAACAACAAAGAGAAACACATCAAATTTTTATGTTGTTTTACCTCATCTTGAATCTGGCGGACGTGGCACAGAGTCTTGTCCTCGGCGTCCAGCTGCTCTTCGAGCAGCATCAGCACTTCCACCTGCTTCATGGGCTTCCCCCCCGCCTGCAGTCCGAGAGACAGACAGACAGAACTGGCGTCGGATCACAGGGAGCGCCCGCGAGGAAGAGGATAGGCCAGCCCGCGCGACACACCGCCGCTCGGAGTTGCCTAGCCTCTCCGCCACAGGCGTCACCCTCGATCTTTGAAATTGGCCGTGTTTACCTCGTAGCAGGTGACCAGGTCCGGGTCGAAGTTGGCGCCCCTGCCCCGGTCCGCCCGGACGGGCTTGACGAACTCCCGCGTGGCGGCCGTCACCTTCCCCGGGCCGTAGTGGAACTTGAGGAACACCTTGTTCTCGTTGAGCAGGAACACGCGCACCGCGATGTCGCGGTTCGCGTCCACCTCGGGGTTCCTTTCGAACTTTTCTGTTATTTTCTGAGGAAAACGAAGACATGTGTCCACTTACGTAACCAGACATGTAAAAAAAATATATAAAAAAAAAAAGAAGTTTGAGGGGACTGACGCGGATGGTCCTCCTCGACCCCACGCTGAGCTCCTCGTCGTCGGGGCCCTGGAAGTGCACCCGGCGGTAGTAGAGTCGGTCCCCGCGGCACCGGAAGAGCTCCGTCAGGTGCTCCGCGGTCATCTCCAGGTGCTCCAGACCGTCGTTTCGCGCCACGTCGTAGAACCACAGCTTCCTCGGACTGTCCAGGGAGCTCTCCGCCACCTTGTACTGGTGCTCTGAAACCGCCAAGTGGTTTTAAAGTCTGTTTTTTTTGTTTGCTTTTTAAAGCGCTTACCCTTGCAGGCGTCGTCGCGGCCGCGGCGGAACAGGTCGGTGGCGCTGCCGTCGCGCAGTTCCTTCTTGACCTGGTACAGGAAGTCGGCCCGGTTCTCGTAGTGCTCCGTGAGGCGCAGGGGCGTGCAGTGCTCGTAGTCCTCGTACACCGTGACCCGCTTCATGAGGCCGTCCTTGGCCAGGTACGGCGCCAGCTTCTCCACCTTGGCCTTCTTGTAGAGGATGGTCTTGCTGCTGCCGGGGTACCGCCGCTCGTAGACGGCGTGCTGCACGTCGAGCCGCGGCACCCAGGACGCCGGCATGTCCAGGTGCTTCTCGGCCTGCACCTCCTCGTCGAGCTGCTCCTGCTCGTCGTCCAGGTCCATCCTGCTCTGCTGCGGGTCGGGCCCCTTGCGCCACTCGGCAGGCTCGCCGGCCAGGAAGTGCTCCCACTTCCGGACGTCCGCCAGGTCGAAGTCCGTGCCCTGCAGCAACACGAACACGCGGTGCACTGACTGGCGTGGAAACGAGCAGGGACCCCGCTCTGCCGTTCTCGCTCTCCTCGGACGGGCCGTGAGTGCGAGAGAGGCAGGACGACGACCGCACCTCGCACGTGTCACCATCACCCTCGGGCTGCACGTTGACCCAGTAGTTGAGGTGGTTCCACACGCTCTCCACGCGGTGGTAGCCGGGGTGGCCGATCTCGTGGCGGAAGCCCGTGGAGGGCTCCACGAAGAACGGGGTGGCGCTCTCGTCCTCGCCGAGGCCCTCGCCCTCCGCGGCGTCGTCGCCGTCCCGGCTGCCCCCGCCGACCCGGCCGTCCCTCCCGGGGCGGGGGCGGATCAGCACCCAGGCGTGCAGGCGGAACCCCCACAGCTCGTCCGGCGCCGGCCGCTCCAGCTCCTACAAGGCGCCCACCACTCACTTAGCTCGCTTAAAATTTCATCATCATTACAAGTATCCATTTATTCATTTTTGTTACCGCGATTCGCCTGTCCTCTTCCTCCTGCAGCTTGCGCCGCTTGTCCTCCTCCTGCTGCTTCTCGCGCTCCGCCATCTGCTCCATGAACCGCGAGTGCAGGTACGGCGGCTCGCGCACCTGGTACTTTGGCGGCGTCGTGGGCCGCGGCTCCTCCACCACCTGCGGACGGCAACGGGAGGGACAGCGACACGACGTTCGAACGGCGCGCGCGCGGCGGCCATGCCTGCCGGACGCCAAGATGGCCGTCCGCGACGTCGCGGCGCCGGTTGCGGAGCGCGCCGCTAGATGGCGCCGGCGCCGCGACGCCCGAGCGCGCCGAGCGCAGCGCCCTCCCCACTTCTTTGTTTGTTTTGAATCCTGCTGCCGCCGCTGCGGAGGGCGGTGCGGCGGTGCGGCGAGGCGGCGAGGCGGGCGGCGCGGGGGGCGGGGGCTTTACTACAACTCCGCTCCACGCCGCGCCACGCCACGCTGTACACGGCGCCCCCACTCTTTGCTTGCGTTTGTCTATGAATGGTGCGCCATTCATTCATACCGCTGCGGCGTGGCGCGGCGTGGCGCGGCGTGGCGCGGCGCGCGGAGAGGCGGGGGAAGGACATTGCCGAGGCGCTGAATGGAAGGCTCTCGCTGGATTACGCACTGATCATCGCTGCTGTGTGGTCCCCCTCTTGAGGCAGGTCGGGAAGGCCTCCACGGTGCCACCCGAGTCACCCCGTCATCCCGCTCAGCCGATGACACAAGGTTCATCCCCTCTTCAACTTCCGTTGTGCGAGCCAAACGACTTGTTGAGTACGAGAGCTGGGTTCGACTCCCGGTGGATTCTTCGTTCTTTTTACCTCCAGCTTGGGTATGAGGTCAGGGCAGACGACGCGCAGCTGGTCGTTGTTGCAGACCTCCCTGGTGGCGTAGCCGGACACGACGTAGGCGTCGTAGTCCGCGCCGATCAGCAGCGACGCCAGCAGCGTGGCCATCTCGAACGAGTGGCCGGCCTGGCGCTCCAGCACCGTCCAGGGCGACACCACCACGGCGGGCTGCAACAGAAACAACGAGCCCCGGTTCAAACCCCTGTCTAAACTCAAGCCACAGAGTCGGCCACAAGGAAGACCGCTCCCGAGCGCCTCGGCGGCAGTGGGGTAACGGTAAGACGGGATCGGGGAGGAAGACTTCCGAAGCTACGCGCTACGCGCTACGCGCTACTCCGCCCCACTACAAGCGTGAAGCGTGGCCGGGCGGATGGCCGGGCGGATGGCCGGGCCCTTGCCACCCACTCCAGCCACTCCTCTCCACTCCAGCTGCTGGATATGAGTGCAGCAGTCAGCCAGTCGTTTCAATAGAGGACCTGTTGCGCCGGCTCGTCCGCCCCGCCCCGCCTCACCGCGCCCCGCCCCGCCCCGCACACCCCGGACGGACTGGAAAGTGGAGATTCTGCGCAACGATTAGACTGCAGCACGGGCTGGCTGCTTGGCTGGCTGCTTGGCTGGCTGGCTGCCGGGCGTCGTTTCATCAACACGAGGCTGGAGACGAGGTCGGAGACCGACGGCTCGCGGCTCTGGGTGCGGGGTCTCCTCGCACGCCACCACCTCCACCGGCACGAAAAGCACAAACTTGCTGACAGACATACTTTTCTTGGGGGGGGGGGATTTGAACCCATTTGAAGCACCGCCAGGGCGCGAAGCTTGGGTACGTACCCTTACCCACGGGAGCGAGCCGTCGATCCAGACGGGGAAGTCCCTTCCGGACCACCCCGGCCCCGCCCCTCCCCCTCCGCCGCTTGCATCCCCCTCGGGGCCGCCACATGGGGCGCCTGATGTAGCATCAACGCCCCCTTCCCTCCACTGCGATCCTTGGGGGCAATCCATCTCCCACCTCCAGCGTCCAAGCAACGCACGCACACACTGACGGCCTCACTCACACACGCGCGAGGTCAGCGCTGTGAATGTGCAGCTGCCGCCGTGCATACTTCTGGATGCGGATTCATGCAGAGACACAGCGCAGCGTCCATAGCATGCAGGTGTGTGTGAGTGTGAGAGTACGCGCGCTGTGTGCGTGCGTGTGTGCTGCTGCCGGCAGCCTAGTGCTTTGTAGGAGATCCTCTAGCGACTGCCCGCAAGGGGGATAAGCGCGTGAGCGGGGGGCGGGGGGATCATCTTATCTACACAGAAGGGGGCCCAGGCCTCGCTCCCCCTACCGCCGTGGTGGCCTCCGCCGCCCCCGCCGCCCCCGCCGCGCCCTTATTCCAGTGGCGGCGGTGCGGTTTTGAGCAGGGACCCCGGCCGGCCGGCCCTGCCCGCCCCCGGCCTGCCCCCGGCCTGCCCCCAGCGGACGTCAGGCCGGCGGTGATGGGGTGGCACTGGGGCGGCGAGTGGCGGCGAGCGTCGGCCCGGCCGGGCCCAGCCCGGATGAGGAATATTTATAGCCCCCCTCCTCCTCTGGCCCCGCCGTCCCCGCCGTCCCCGCAGCGACCCGCAGCGACCCGCAGCGCCAGCGCCACGACTCACATCATTGCCCTCGGCACGGCGCGGCGCGGCACGGCGCGGCACGGCTCGCCGGCCTGATGAGGACGACTCCCTAAAATAAGCAGCCGGGAAGGACAGCAGGGATAGACGAGGCGGTGACGTCAGCGCCCCGGGGGTGCGTCGCAGTGCGTCGCAGCCTCACGTGCCGGCAGCAGGCTGTCTGTCTCCCTCACACCTTCAGGGGACGACCTCGAGTGCGAGAGAGACAGAGCGACGACTTCAGCCAACAGCGCTTGCTCTGCGCGGCAAGGAGAACGCCCGGCAGCATGCAGGCCCGCTCGGCAGGGCTGCGCGGCGGGACGGCCTGCAGCAAGGCGAGTCCCGTCCCTGAGCGCGCTGCTGCCGCGCTAGTGCGCTCTCTGCTAGCTGCTAGCTGCGCTCTAGTCTACACGGCCGTTCCCATGGCTGCTCCCTCGGACCCTTCTTTAACTCCGAGAGGGAAGGCTTTGCCTTTGCCCTCCCGGTGCCCTTCCGCCCTCCCGCCCTTCGGCTGGCCGTGCTCGGCGCGCCCCGCCCGTAATCCCTGCGCCGGCCTTGCTGGTGGGCATGCTGGTGGGCATGCTGGTGGGCGGCCACGTGGAGCGCGGTGGGCGGCCGCTACGCCGAACTGACCGGACCCCCCGATGGGCGCAGGCGCAGGATGCGTCCCTCCGCGACGTGGGCAGGTCGCCGATGGGGTCGCCGATGGGGTCGCCGATTGGGTCGACACCCATGGCCACCTCCGGCATGCCTCCGGTCGGAACCTTGAACCTTCGCGCGGCCAGGCAGGTCTCTAGGCAGCCCTGTAGGCAGCCCGTCGTCGGAGCGCTCCAAACAGACTCACCGCCACGGCCGCACCGCTGCCCCGCACCGCCGGCACCGCCAGCACCGCCCGGCCAGCACGCTAATAATTAACAGCCGCTGCCAGGGCCGCCTGTGCACCGCACCGCGCCGCACCGCGCCCAGCCCCGCCCCGGAGATGCCGAAGGGGGTGGGCCGGGCGGCCGGACGACGCAGGGTGGCTGTTCTGGGATGCATGAGGGGCCGCCTGGGAGGCACTGGCCTCAAAAACTAGCAAGATAATACGAAAGATGTGAACCCCGTGCGTTTGCACGACGCGAACGCGGAGCTGATTTGTTGTTGCATTCGCTTTCCCACTCGAATCAGCTATTAATTCCGGGTTTTACCTCCAAATTTCCCGATGTGAATAATTTGCCGGTGCCACAACCACTTCTATTGGTTTCGGTCGCCAATGCACGCAGATTGAGATGGCGCGATTTCCCGGCACTGCAGCGGTATAAATCCCCCGGGAGAGACGCGGCGGCACAGCGCGTCGTGGCGCACAGTGTACGAGTCCCCCTCTGGCGCCGCGGTGGCGGTGTCGCGCTGCCGCGCTGCCGCGGCGCTACAGCTGCAGACCCCTGCAGGAGGCTCGCGGCCTCGCGACGCGACGCGACGCGACGCGACGCGACGCTGGCGCATTTTCCCCACCCCACCCCGCTCCAGCTTCGCCATGGCTTCGCGGATCGATGTTACTCATCTACCTCCTCCTCAACCGCGCCATGCAGCACCAGCAGAGGCCTTCTCCGGGGCGCATAGAGACGCCGCCGCCAACGTCCGCGACGTTCTCTCTGCGGAGGCCGTCACCAAGGCCGTCGGCGTGGACGAGGCGGCGCGTTTCTGCGACAGGGTTGCGGCAAAGCAGGCAAAGGGACGCCGCGCGCCCACAGGCCCGCACCTCTGCCACGGCCGAGGCGGCTGAGGCCGGTCGGCCGGTCGGGGCGGCGCGGGGCCTCCCGCATGCATTTGCATAGCGGCCCTAGGACGGGGCGAGGGACGAACGAGGCCGTGGGGCTGCCGGTAGGCCAAGCGAGGCCAAGCCCAGCCCAGCCACGGCCACGGACACGAGGGGGGCCGTCGATCCGTTCGTCGTGTCCGAATTCCCCAACTCACTTGGACCAGGCTAGAGTGCGGGCTGGAGCTGCTCGCCGCGGCCCGGCGCCGGGTAGCAGCGAGAGGACGGAGTTGGTGCGGCCGGCCTGTATCGGACAGAGCGCCAGACTGCTCGGACCGCCCGTTAATTATTTGCACGTCCGGGAGTCGAGTCCGGGACTCCGGGACTCCGGGACTCCGAGCCACGGGAGGGGCTGGCCGGCAGACCCGCCTCGCCCGGCCACCGGAACCAGGACCTGGAACTAGGACCAGCGGGCAGACCCGCAGCCACGGCCGAAAACCCTGCCGCTTTTACGACAGTCGATGGCGATGTAGCCGTGTAGCCGGCCTCCAACATCGTCATCATCATCACCACCAACAACAGCAAACTACCCAGACTCTTCTCCTCCCAAAGTTTATCAACACTTTATTACCGGGCCAAGGTCGCCGACGCCGAGCCGCGCCGGGCGGCTGGAGTTGGCCGCCGCAAGTCCCGGGGAGGTTCGTCATCGTCGTCACCGCCGTCCCCGGCGTGCTGTACCTCGGGGGGCACGACGCCATCCCCGCCTTAAGTGAATTCGCAGCCCAGTCGTCTTGCCGTGTAGCGCTACCCTTACTCCTCCCCCTCCCCCTCGGCCTCCGGCCACCCTCCGCATCCTCTCTCTCTCCCTCTCCCTCTCTCGCCATCGCTAATTTGGCGTTGGGATGCAAATGTATGACGCGGCTCGGCCAGCCCAGAGGGCCGCCGGCACTGCCTGGGGTAGTCGCGCTGGCCTTGCACGGTGTACCTCGGTGACGACCGGCACACACACACACACACACACACATCTACTTCCCACTGGAGTCTATGTAGGTGGCGGGCAAAGAAATTGCAGGCGGGGAGGCGAGCGCCGGCGTCGAATTTGCCCCGCTGTGTGCTCCCTTCTTCATTCCCGCGGCATTCCCCCTCCGTTACCCCTTCCCCTCTCCCGAGCCCCGCCGGCCCCGCCGCGCGCTGCAGAGATCGCGTCGTCTGCTTCGCTCCCTCTCTCTCTCTCTCTTCCTTTTTTTTCCGCCGCGTCCCCCTTTCGCCTGCCGGCCCGGCGCCGCCCGTCAGCCCAGCCGCCGCCCTCCCGACTGCAGCAGCAGCAGGACGGACAAGACGGACAGGGCGGACAAGATGACCGCCCGCAGCCACGGGCCGCCGACGGTTCATTGTTTATGTCCAGATCCACTTGAACAGCGAGCAAGCGCGCGTAGTCACCAAAAGGGGAGACTCTTTGCAGCGCTTTGCAGGGTCCTTCCGACGGCGGCGGCGGCCAGGCAGGCGGGCAGACCGGCGGACAGGCAGGCAGGCAGCCCCAGCGGCCCAGCAGCACAAGCCGGCGCCCCCATCACGGCCTGGCGGCCTGGCGGCCCGGCCGTGCCGTCGCGTCATGCGCGGCGTGCCCCTCCAGCCCCTCCAGCCCCGCCAGCCTCCAGCCTCCAGCGGGGCGCGGCTCAGGCTAGACCGGTGCGGCGCCAGCGAGCAGCTACACTGCGGAATAAATTTGGCGAGCATTAGAGCGTCGCCGCGTTGCGGAGAGAGGGGTGGGGGGAGAAAGGGGCGCAACGCCGAACGGAGAGAGCACTGCGCGGCCGCGTTGCCTTCGCTGTCCTCCCCCGCCGGTGCGGCGGTGTCGTCCAAAACGACATTTCGCCCGTGACGTCAAATTCGCGAAATGGACTACCAGCCGCAGGACAGTGGACCAGCAGGCGCCGCTAGGCTGAGGCGGACCCTCCCCCGCCCCTACCCTCCCCCGCGCGCCGTGCCAGGCCGCGCCAGGCCGCGCCAGGCCGCGCCGCTCTACGCCAGGCTAGCGCACAGCATGGCCGCGGCGGGCCCGCGCCGCCCCCTGTGCCGCACCGCGCCATCCCCGCGCCGCCCCCCGCCGCCCCCCGCCGCCCCCCGCCGCCCCCGCTACCCCCGCGAGCCCCCCGCGACGCCCTCTCAGCATCCCTCGCGGGAGAGCCTTGGCGCGCCCGGCGTGGCGGCCCCGGCGGCCCCGGCGGCCCCGGCCTCGCAGCGCTGGTCCATCGGCTCGGCGCCCCCACCCCCTACACTGCCAAATCGCACAGCACCCTCCTGGTAACCACCAGTGCAGCCGGCGAAAACTTGAAACTTGCAGCGTCGCGATGAACACCCACTGCCAATGTCTCGGTGTCGGTTTGTTCGGTTTGTTGTTCTCCCTTTCCGGTTCAGCCATTCCAATACTTCCACTCACTTACGCTGCTCTGCTGCTCCCAGCCCCTTCGTCCGTCTCCCTCCAGTCGGCTGCCACACTGCCCCCTTGGCTGCCCCCTTGGATGCCCCTGTCCGCGGCGTGCAGTTCAACAAGTTCCGACTCAATTCGGGCAGAGGTCTTACTCGGCCGGGGGGACGCTCCTGAATATCTCAGCCAGGAATCAAAAGGGTATTGGTAAAGGCCCGCGCGGGTCGTCCCGACGTCGCTCTGCCTCTGTCGCACTCACGGCGTGTCCCACAGGGGTGCGAGAGAGAGAGGAGGAAGAGCGACGAAACGCTCTTTATTCCCCGCCGGCCCCGGACACACATTACTCTCCCACATTTCACGGCGCCCCCTGGGAGCCTGACGTCCTGACGGGGCCGAAAGACAAATAAATGTCCCCGCAATCTCAGTTTGCTCGCTGTTGAAATTCTTAACTCCCCACGCGCGCGCTTCACCGAGTGTATTTTGTGTTTTTTTTCTCGCGCTCGGAGCGAAAGTGTTTGCAGGGCGGTGGCGGCCTTCCCGGAGGCGGGCGTCGTGACGGCCGAGCGGCGGCCTTTCCTGCGACACCCTGGAGGGAGACACATTTCTTCCGGACGCCGCACCAGCGGAGCGGCCGGAGCGGGCGCTGCCCCCCTCCCCCACCGCACCGCACCCCTCCACACCCCACCCCGCATTGCCAAGTCGGCGACAATCAGCTTATTTATTTATTGATAAGGGATGACGGCATGTCCGATTGCAGATTGCGTTGGCAAGGTCAGGGGCGGCAGGCAGGCGGGTATAGGCAGGCAGGCAGGCAGGCGGTGCTGTTGAAGCGTGCCATTCGCGCGCTGCAAAATAATTCAACGCGACGACTACACTGCCGAAGAAACGTCCCGATTCTTTTGTTTGTTTGTGAAATGAGGCTGCTCTTGTTCTGGGCGAACTAATTAGGAGGCCTCTGGTTACCCCATCAATTTATCTTTTTTTCCTCTCCCTCTCCTCTCTCTCTCTCTCTCTCTCTCCTCTCCCTCTCTCTCTCTCTCTCTCTCTCTCTCTCTCTCTCTCTCGCTCCCATTCGCTACTCTGGCTGTATTTCTCCTTTTTTCCTCTTTGCGCCGCGCTTTGAAGACGGTGGCGCGAAGGGGGCGTCTGTCCTCCGGCATCTGTCCGCATCGGATACATCGGCGGGCGACGCGCACTTTTAGATAGATGAGAGTTAGATGAAGAGACGGCACGGCGGAGCGAAACGGGGCGGCGTCCCCACCCCCTCCCCCCGCCACCGGTCCGCGTCCGCCCTGGACTACCCTGGACTACCCTGGACTACCCTGGACGGGCCGCTCCAAAAAAACGGCCTCGACTTTCATGAGCCCGAAGCGAGCGGCGAGCGGGCGGTAGGTAACTCGCTCAATTTCCCCCTTCCCCTCTCGCCTCTCGACGCGACTGACGACGGCGCCCGAGCCGGAAAAAAATAAGCGAAACGGAGGACAAATTCGCAGAGTATTCGATAGTAATCAGAGGGGTGAACCGCCAAATTCAGCGAGCAAAGTTCAGAGAAAGAAACCCACGTCGGGGTCTAAAAAGAAAGAAAC